CTATATATACTAAACTACACAAGAGTACTCAGAGAGTATGAGCTACTAAGAATGATGAGCTATGAAGAATGAAAGAAAGGAATGTCAAAGATAAAGGTACAAAGAATGAAGGGATGGATAAAGGGTAAGAGACCATAGAATGATACAAAGAATGAAGGGGTGGTCAAAGGAATGGAATGATAAAGTAAGGAAGGGTAGTAGCAAGAGTCAGTACACATATAGTTTATAGACAGTGCCCCTGAGGGACAGAAGTCCTGAGTTCCAGTACAGAAGGGTGCAGAACCCTCAGAACTGAAGGTACAAGAGCAGAGAACTGTAACAAGTCTTGTCTTAAAGAGACACTCTATGTTGGATATTAGTCATACTACTACTTATGTCTTTACACTCTCATATATACATTGTACCTATGTAATAATCATGTTATACTACTAAATGTATTAGCTTTAGTATTTAGATGACCAGTGTAAAGGGATTGGTATTTACTGAAAGGAGCTAGTATAAGGGTTAGCTACAGTATTCACAAAGACAATCCTCTCTTCCTCAAACCACTATCTACTTTAACATAGACTATACTAAGGTACAGTTTAATATACATACTGTAAAGCTTGCAAACAACCTAAGCTCTTTGCTTCCAACTCTTAGACTTAGTATGAATATTATGAACATCTACAATTGGATAACCTTTAATAAATGTGTAATTTCTACATATTGGTGTAAAATATACCTTAGTAACTACAGGTACAGTTGATTACAACAAGCCCTTAATATGTACTAAGACATCTATTGTTCTGTTAGAGCAGCTTCAAACAAAAATGGACAGATAGCTTACTAGCAAATGTATCTACAATGTTGATAAAAGTTTTAGCAATACTTAGCACTTATCAACATAACCTCCCTGTACAATTGCTAAAGTACAGAACCTTCATTTCCTTCCAGTACTACATGTCAGAGACGTTTCTTCAAGAGAGAAAAAGCAAGTTTGATTTGATTGAAATCAGGCAAATATGCTGGCAGAAATACAAGTTTCATGCCTCTATAATGGTAGTGCTTAGGATTAGGAATTGTACAACAATAACAAGCAAGGTAAGTCTGTATACCTTGATTCTACCAGATCCCTTACTTCTTGTGATTTATAGATTGAGCAATTATCCATGACCAAGGTAGATCCTTACTCTGTACAGTCTATGACTCTTTTGATGAACTTACTGCCTTTTTCATAAGTATTGTCACACTTGATGATTCATCATTTTTTGTCACAAAAATAAACAAACAAAAAAATAGCTATTTCTCACTCAATTCTACACAGAATTCAGTGATTATTTGACATAAATTCANGTTTTTTAAATATGCTTCAAATAGACACTTTAATTATTAAATTTGAGCAAGATTTGACTGAGTTATAGTGAAAATACACTGTTTTTCATGTTTTCTTAATATTTGAATTTTCATTCCTTCAAAACTCAACATATAAGCTTGGAAAACAGTTTATTATAGTCACATAC